ACACACACACACACACACACACACACACACACACACACACACACACACACACACACACACACACACACACCTCCAGCTTCCAGTGCTGCAGTAGTTGACAACATTTGACTTAAATGGAGGCACCTGTTGATGCATTTTAAAGCACGTTGCAAATACACTGCTTCGTTTGACATCGGGTAAATCAAAAGAAATCAGCAAAGATCTGATTAAGAGACTTTGCAAACCCCACAAATCTGGTTTGTCTTTAGGTACAGTTTCCAGATCCCTTAATATGCCACAAGCATTTGTTTATACAGTTATACACCAGTATAAACACCATGGGAATGTCCTGTCATACCATTCATACTGAGATGAACTTGTGTTGGTGCATGTCTATCATCCCCAAAACTAAAAGAAACGAGATTGAAGAGGCTGCTGAAGCTGGTAAGATAGCCATTATCCACAGTGACATGAGTTCTATATCAACATGGCCTGAAAGGTACCACAGAGAAGAATGACCCATTAAAGCTACATGACAAATTCCAGATTACAGTTTGCACAAACACAGGGACAAGACCTCAACTTTTGGAGACATGTCCTGTAGTCCACTGAACTAAATGTAAACTGTTTCGGTATTGACTATTCTTACATTTGAAGAAAATAAGAGGAAGATGAGAACACCATTCCAAAATTTTGCGGCAGCATCATGTTATGGAGCACACGAGCGACATGGAAATGTTAAAGCAACATCTTAAGAAATCGGCCAAGCAGCGTACAAAACTCCCCTCAGGCAGAAGGTTTCAGTCCATTTGGACCAGAACATCCCGCCATAAGAACAGTTTCTTCCCCTCTGCCGTCAGACTCTTGAACATTTAGAACACGACTCTATAACTCTGCCTTGGCCACTTTATCACTGGTTTTTAAATTGCACAGCTCTGACTAAATTGTTCTTCTGATCACTTTCATCACTGGATCTAACTGCACTACTCCAAATATATTGTCTGCTCCAATTACTGTATTGAACTGGTGTACATATGTTTTATATATTTTATTACAATTTTCCTTTATCTTTTGTTTTTGTTTTCATTTGTTATATTTGATACCCACTGCACCTTAACACCGAAGCACATTCCTAGTCTGTGAATCCTGTTCGTTGACAATGGCAGCAAAACTGATTCTGATTCTGAAATAGAGTACCTTGTAAAAGTATTCACTCCCTAGGCATTTTTTATGCATTGTTACTTTACAACTTGTGTTTCAATGTTTTTAATTAAAATTGTATATGATACATCTGCAGTAAGTTGGTGAAGTGAAATGAGAAAAAATGTGTAGGGTGGACAATTTTATATAGATACGCATAAATAAAATGAGAATGGTTGGTGATATTAACTTCCTGTTTGTGGCACATTAGTATTTGGGAGGGGAAAACATTTCAAGATGATTGGTGACCATGGTGGCCATTTTGAATTCAACCACTTTGGATCCGACTTTAGTTTTTTTATTTTTTTATTTTTTTCCCAATGGGAAGAGGGTCGTGTGACACATCAAACTTCACCAAATTTCACAGGAAAAACAACGGTATACTTAGTTTTAATGTAACTTTATTCTTTCATGAGTTATTTACATGTTTCTGATCCCTTATAAAATGTGTTTAAAGTGCCGCCCATTGTGTTGGATTGTCAATGCAACCCTCTTCTCCCACTCTTCACACACTGATAGCAACACCGCAGAAGAAATGCTACGTACCACAGGCTTCCAGTATCTGTTGTTTCAGGAGCTACACATCTCATATCTTCACAGCATAGACAATTGCCTTCAGATGACCCCAAAGATAAAAGTCTTAAGGGCGGTTATTGTCAGACCAATAGCGGTGGTTTTCTTTGTTAACTTTACCATTCACATAAAAGTAGGCCTCCACTGAACAAAATGTTCTGTGTAAACTGAGGGTCTTGTTCCAGTTTTTGTTTTGCTCATTCAGCAAATTCAGTGTGCCGATCTAGGTCATCCTCGTGATGCTGCAGCAGCTGGAGTTTTTATGGGTGCCTTTTGTGAGTAGCTAATATCCGCCGAAGGGATGTTCGGCTGATGCCACTCTCTAGTGACATGTGGAGAGAGCTATGCTGTGGGCTGTTGCTGAATGAAGCTAGGACAGCCACTGGTGTTTCTTCATTAGTGACAGTTTTCATGCATCCACATTTTGGCAAATCCAACACTGAACCAGTTTCATGAAACTTAAAGCAGTTTGAAAACTGTAGCATGGGAGATGGGTGGTCTCGTATGGTGTTTTGCATTTAAATCTGCTGCAATGACCTGGGTACTGCATTCACCAGACATCAGCACAATTTCTATCCACTCCTCACATGTTAACCTCTGCAACATGTCAATGGCTGTAAACAAACAGA